TAATAATTAGAACAAAGATTTTGGTCCCGTAAAAAGAATTTTTATAATACATGATAGAGAATAAAAAATAAATCAATTCATAGGTAAAATATGAAGTATGTAGCTATACTATTAAGATATGACTTATATAATTTCTCGAAGTATTACGATTGTTTGTATGAATCTATGTAATATAAATTTTTGCATCCCCATACTTATTTTCTATACGTAAAACTAATTTTGGCCTATTTGGCTACCCTTTTAAAAATCGGCTGTTTCTCTTATTTTGAGAAAATATGTTGTAACAAAAATTTTTTAAAGATTTTGTAAGCGTCTGTATTAATGTTCCGGAAGTGACATGCTAAACAAAATTTCTTTTCACTTGTTCATTTCAAGATCCAGTCTAAACAGTAAAAAAAAAAGAATTAAGGTTATGTTTGTGCAACGTCAAACCCTCATACGCACTTTTGCATATCAATCATGCAGTATCCCTTCCCAAAACCCGTAAAAATACTTATTTTTAGCCACTTTTGCTTTCCTTTTGAGGTACAGCGTTATTTTTTGTATTCAAACGTAAGGTTGTTAGATTATTAATACATACATATAAAATACTTTATGCTCGTTTATTTTATTACATATAAACATAAAAAAGGATAAACAGTGAAATAGAACGATTTTACCGTATTCTTTTAAAGACTCCGAAAGTTCCAAGAGATCAAACGACGTTTTATCTCAGTCATTATTAACCTGATCGTACATTAGCTGTGACATAGGCCCAACTCATTCGGAGGCACAGCCACGTTACGATTTCCATTCTGCAGCAGTAGGTATAGAGTACTACAGAAAGAGGCTACACACACACACACGCACACAAACATACATATATATATATATATATTTGTGAATAGTGACTTATGTGGACTTCACGTGCTTCTANAAATAAAACAACAAACAAAGAAAAAAATAAAATTCATTGATATCATCAGTTAAAAAATAAGTACAACTGTATTAGGCCATACAATACAGTTGAGATAAAAATACATTATTGATCTCAAACAATTATTCCAATACTTGTAATAAAAAGTAATAATTCAGTTTGAAAGATTTGCTCATTTGCAATACATGTGAAATAAAATTTTCGAACCCTGAAAAATTAATACATCATAAAAAGACACATCAAAAATTGTTATACGTTTATGATTTTTGTAAAAATGTATTGACTTTGAAACAAAATTTCGTTAGGCTTTAAAAGGAACATAACTAAGAAAAAACAGTCACATGCATACATTGTTATAAGAAATTCAAAATATCTACTCATTCAAATAGACATATAAAAATTCACAGTAAATGTGAAAGTAAACAAATATGTACAAAATGTGGAAAAGGATCTTTAGGATTAGACAATTTAAAAAGACATATCGATTTCCATTCTGAAGCAGTAGGTATAGAGTACTACAGAAAGAGGCTACACACACACACACGCACACAAACATACATATATATATATATATATTTGTGAATAGTGACTTATGTGGACTTCACGTGCTTCTAACATATTATAAATAACATGGTAGGATTATGCAGACGTCCGCATAATTCCACGTTTGTCCTTATAATTAATAACCTTTACATACATGTGATTGTCCGCATAAGTCACCTCTAGATAAACTCATGAAAATATCGTTATAACCGATCCATCACCACCATGACCAACATCATTATGATAATTATCACTATTATTATCATTAAAATTACCAGCACCACCATCATCATCATTATCACTACCAGCATTATCATCGTAAAAATTAACATAATGATCATTATCATTATCATTATAATCATAATCATTATCATAATCATGCTTATCATCATAATTATCATCATCTTCCTCATCATCAGCATAACCATCATCTTAATCATCAACATCATCATCATCCTCATTATTATCATCATCATCATCCTCATCGTCATCATCATCATCGTCATCATAAGCGTTATCACCATCATCGTCGTTATTATTTACATCGTCGTCATCATCAGCGTCGTAATCATTATAATCATAATTATTATCATCGTCATTATAATCGTCATTATCATAATCATCATTATTATAATTATTATCATCATCATCGTCATTATCATCATTATTATCATGACCATCATCACCATCATCATTATATTTATAATTATCATCACCATCATCATTAATATCATTATTTCTATCATCATTATCATTACCATTATCATTATGATCATCATTATCACCATTATTATCATTTTTATTAACATTATCATCTAATTGATATTATCTTCATTATCATAATCATTATTATTGTAACCATCATCATCATTATCGTCATTATCATCAGCATCATAATTATTATCAACACTATCATCACCATCATAATATTATAATTATTATTATCATTTTTATCGTCATTATCATTATCATCGTCATCATCATAAATGTTATCATGACCGTTTTTACCATAATCATCGTCATCATCAACTTCGTCTTTATTATTAACGTCGTCATAATCATAATCGTCATTATTATTATTATCTTCATCGTCGTCATTATTATCATTATTAAAATTATTGTCAACACTATCCTTTTTATTATTATCGTCATGATCATTGTTATCATCATTATCATTATTATTATAATTATTATAATCATAATTATCATTATCAT